GAGTCTAGCTGTTTTTTTATTGTGGTTAGGGAAATATGATGGGGGTGTACCTTATCATAAAATATATAATTTTATTACAAAATTTTATAATATCAACTACAAATACATAATCTCAGTACAAATTAGTGTAACAAAAAATATTATAATCAAGTCATAAATTTTTATAGCATCATATACAAAATTTTAAACATTTTATTACCCTAATTTACGATGAGTGTACGGATTTTATGATTGATATTATAAAATATTTGTGATAAAGTTGCACATTTTTGTGATAAGGAATATATGATATGCACCCTTAAAAGGTTACACACCACAAGATTTCGCTTCTTGTCATAGTATCTATTTAGTTTGAAAAATATTTGAGACACCTAATAAATCTCCACAATTTCACCCCATTGATAGGTGTTAACTTTTAATTTATTACATATTTAATTATTTGAGATTCTAATTTTTTGTCATATCATTAAAAATATAATTAAAGATGATGAAATGGGAAAATATAGCAAAACTCTAATTTTGAATCCACAAAGTCCTACTTTTCAATTGTTTTCATTTTGCAGAGGATTTACCCTGTGAAGTTTGTCCATCAGGTTGTGGGCAAGGTGCGCACATCAGATGCGTTGATCTGCGTGTGGTGGAACACATGTTACAGTGTGCGTTATATTTCATTTTGTTTTTTTTTGTAATTAATTAATTATTTTTTATTTTTTTGTTAGATAGGGCAATCAAAACTTTAAGATGTTATAATTTGTACTTTATACATCTATTCTTTAATAAAATTTAAGATAATTTATAAATATATCTTTTGAGATTCGTTTAAAATATAAATTGTCTCTTATAATTTAAAAATTACATAAATTTGTTTGTCAAAATTTTTGTTTTAATAGAATTAATTGAAAATATAAAATTCTTAACTACTTAGCTGTATAATAATAAAATAGATTTTTTTATCCAACTCCCTCACTAAAGCTTCTTAATAGTATAAGGACACAAAAGAGAAGACTGAACAAGATTATGTTTCAGACAAAAGAATCCACGAGTTCGTATTTGTTCTCGAACAAGTATCTAATCGGGTATCCAAGCCTCTTAATAGGTAGGTTTAGATGTGTAGAGGGGTTCAAGGTGAATAGTGATTAAGAGAGTAATTAGAGAGGCAAAACTATGTTAATGGTCCAATAATAGTGGAATGAATGGAGGGTGAACAACTAGGTGAGGGTAAAGCAAGTGACTCAAGAAGAAAGGAATGACAGTGCACAAATGGGCAGCATCTCCCCAAATTCCCAAAATTTCTCTCCTTGGACCTTGAGAAATGGGTCTTATTTATAAGTTTTTCCTTGTTACCAAAGTATACCAAGTGGCCAAATAAAATGAGGACATGTGTCCCCAAGAATTATATGAAATATTCTGCCTTGAGCCACTAGGCTGAAGGTGTCACGCGTCCCTTTGCATGTACTATGTACTATCTGTTTGGCACAGATGACTTAGCAAGTGCACTTGCGACGAGAGTGTTTGTTGCTGTAATTTGCCTCCATTGTTGACCCACTTCCTTTGGACTTTAACCCATGCTTTTTTAATCATTCCTGGTTGCCTAATAGGGGCGACCTCCGCACTTAGGTCCACACTTAATTTTGCCTTAAACTTCTGACCCTCTACAACATGTTAGAGTTGGGTGGGCTGAGATATTCAAGATGGGAGACTTGGTCAAATATTAGTTATACAAAACAGTCTAATTATATATTCTTTGCTAATAAAATGTCTACTTGTTTGGCTTGTTTAGTTTGTTTGGTTTTTAAGTTCTTTCTTCTTTTTTTCTCGGGTCGCTTTCCTTTCCAATAAAAAGCTATCGGCTTTGTTCACCTCAGGGCGAGACATGCCCTTGCTTCTGCTTCAATTCAGCCTTCCCTTTCTGCCGGAGCTTCATGGTTGTTGTCCCGTTCCCCATCAGATGTTTAGATGTGAGCTATAGACCGCGATGAGCAAACTAGGCAAATGGAACGAGTTAGTAGAGTTGCTAAGCTCTTCCAAGGGAGATTCTAACGGAATTATAGAAAAAAGAATAAAATTTCTAAGTACTCTCTTATACAATAATAAAATTACAAAAATTGTTAACTGAAATATATTTTTAATATTATTAAAGACTATTAATTGACTTAATGAATACATCATCTTTTTTGTCAAAATAGACCATTTATTTTCTTTGAGACAAAAAATAAAGAGCGAATTACACTAACAGTCCCCATAGTTTGGGGCTTCTGTTACTTTGGTCCCTGACTTTTCAATTGTAAGACATTTGACCTTGAATTTTGAATCTTGTTTCAAATAAGGAAAATTGAAAATATCATTGCTCAATTTTAAGGGCAAAGTCATCAATTTCATAAGATATAAACTAATTTGACAAAAATAAGTGTGAACAAATATTTTTGAATTTCAAAAAATAATTTCTATCTACCAAAAGAAAAAATTATGTAAAATTGATAAATCTTTTAGACATTTATTTATTTTATCAAATTAATGTTTTGGAGCATTTACACACAAGCCCTAATTTATGAACCTATACTCCATTAAGTCCTAACTAAGATTTTTTGAACCTTCAAATCCCATTAAATTTTTAATAAAAATCAATGATTGTTCATCAGTTATAATTATCTATAAAAGAATATATTGATTTGACATTTATTTTGATTTTCAAAACTTTAAAAATCAACTTTCAAATTGAAAAAAATAAAAAAAATAAAAAAAACACTTCACTTTGCTTGGTTACAATTTTTCAAAAACACTATTCAAAAAATTTTACTTTCTTGTTTTCCATGTTTTTTTTTTTTACTGAATTTTTTAAATATTTTAAGCAATTTTTTTTTAAAAAACTTTTTAGACATACCTAACATAAATATACCTAAAAAGTAAAAAAAAAATTGTGAAAAAAACCTTTTAAAAATTCACTAAATATCAAAAAATACAAAAAAAAAAAAAAACGAGAATTCAGTACATTTTTTTTTGTATTTTTATGTATTTATTAATTTTTTAAAATATCTTTTCACAATTTTTTTACATTGTAGATACATCTGAGTAAGGTGCATCTAAAAAAGTAAAAAAAAAATATTTAAAATTTTAAAAATATTCACTAAAAACAAAAAAACACGAAAACAAAAAAACACGAAAACCAAAAAACTTAATTTTCAAAAAAATAATCCAAAAAACTCAAACCAAACTTTTTTTTTTTTTTTGAAAAAATAAAAAAAAACTTAATTATTTTTTTGTGCATAATCAAAAATGTTGTGACTATAAGGGAGCATGATGATGAAACATTGATGTGCAAAATTAAAAAAAAAAAAAAAAACCTTTAAAAATGAAAAAACTAATAATGTTCTCAGTTTAAAACTGAAAAAAACTGTTAATGTTCTCGGTTTTATTGAATAGTTGAATCAAACCAATAAGTAAAATGGCAAAAACGTTTAATCTCATACTCTGTTTTTTTCATCAGTTAGTAAAATAATTATCTGAAACATTACTATGCAAAATTGATAATATTATTAGTTTTAAAAATTGGAAAAGACTGATAATATTCTCAGTTTTACTAAGTAGGACTTATTGGTTCAAAAAATCTTTAATAGGACCTAAACTACCATAACATTTGTAAATAGGACTTTTAGGTAATTAATTCTAATTCTTATTGTGTGTTTAGATAATAATCATATAATGGACGGTTGTTAGGCTTTAAATAAATAAATAAATAAATGTCTAAAAGATTTATCAATTTTACATAATTTTATTTTTAATGGGTAGAAATAATTTTTAAAAATTCAAAAATATTTTTTTGACGTTTATTTTTATCAAATTAGTTTATATTTTATCAAATTGACGACTTTGCTCTTGAGATTGAGCAATGGTATCTTAAATTGTCATTATTTAGAACAAGATTCAAAACTCAAGGTCAAATGTGTCGCAATTAAAAAATTAGGGATCAAAGTAATACAAGATCCAAATTATAAGGATTGTTAATATAATTTACCCAAAAATAAATAAAGTGCACCTATCAAATTAACCTAATTTTGTTCATGAATACGTGAGAGATTTTATAAAATAAACGGTTTGAATCATTAAAAAAAAATCCCTTAATAAACCCGACACGTCTAAAAAAACATCCTCTAATTTAAATTTAAACTAAAAAGAGAAGTAGTAACACGTTTTCCTTCACTTTCCTATATCCCGCTAATCCATCTTAAGACTTTGTTTAAATTATAAATTTGAGTATAGATCTAACTTAAAAATTGACCCAAACACTGCCTGAAGATAACTTAAGGATTAATCAATCCGATACATAATCGACCAAATAGGATCGACATAAAAAACAAACAAACAAACCGCCCAGACATGTTAATGTCCAATGTCTATATCTATGTCGGTGACTTAGCTACATAGCACACGTTAGCGCCTAGTCTGAATTCATTAATATTTGAAGAAAAAGACTGTTAGGAGAAAGAGTCCCAACCGTCATTCAATCCGATAATTATTTCTTGGAGAACACGAATAACCTTATGACATACACATGAATAAAGGTCACATGTTCATATCGATAAGCCTCTCTCCTCCATTATCTTCTTTCACAAGAAAAAAAAGTAGGCTCCAAGTAAAAGCATAACCGACCACTCATCCCATTTTGCCTATAAATATTTGAGCTCCCAGCATTCACTCCTCACACAATATTCATTCACCAAGCAATCTTCAGAGATTTAGACAAACACTTGAACAACAAAGATGTCTGGGTGCGGCGAACATCATCATCCATTCTATCACGGTGTTCACAACTTAGGACACCACAGCCCCGGTGGACATCACGGAGGTGCAGCATGTCACATCGGAGGGCATCACGGTCACAGCTGGGGACATCTTATTTACCAACACCACGGTCATGGCTGGGGACATCATATTCATCAACATAGTCATGGTGATCGCGGACATGGTGGCCGCGGTGGTTGTCACCGTGGAGGACATCATGGTCATGATGGGATACATCATGGTCACGGTGGTGGCAGTCCTGGCAAAAGGCACCATTGCCATGGCAAACGTGGAGGTCACAGCAAGGAACATTATCATCATGTGGTCATTGTTGAGCATGTCAGTACCCCTGAAATTGCGACGACTAGTGGATAGATAGATTCTTCCTCTGTCAGTCGTGAATTTTAGCAGTCCTCTTAATTGAAGAAATAAGAAGCAGCAGTGTGATCATGTATTATTAGATTTGAAGCGAGACACGTATTTTCCTTTGGTTCTGCTGTGTGTATTGTGCTAAATATTGTACCAGCTTGAGTTGTTTCATTGTACTACACACCAAAATAAAAGGTGGACTGCAGTAATATATATAATTTTGTGTGTAAATTTTCATGGAGTAATGCTATACATAAACAATTTTTGAATCCATACTTGCGCAAACCATTATTGGATTAAGTCAACAATTATTCGTAGTTTTAACATACTTAAAAGGAGCAACTCAATGCATGAACTTCCCACTAAAGCAGGGTCTTTTAACCGGACATAAATTTAACATGCTTATATTACCTCAAAAGAAATTAAAACATCAAAGACAACTCCAAATTCTTACGTAACTATACATGGCCAACAATCATGAGTTACTCCGATCTCTCCTAGTTGGCAGCAATATCTTTAACCATTTCCTTCAGCTCACCAGTCTACATGACAGACCAAAACCATAAAAACAATGTATGATGTATCCCAGGCTTAAGAAGAAGAACAAATTTGATATGATAATACCTGGTGCATGTTGAGAATGATGTCTGATCCTCCAATGAACTCCCCCTTGATAAATATTTGTGGAAATGTGGGCCAGTTGCGGGAAGGATAGACCATGAGACTAATTGAAACAAGTACAAACAAACTACATGTTTTATCAACAACTTCGGACCAAATGGGTTGCTAGGTAATGATCAGTATTCAGTACGTGGATCACAGCAATTCCATTTGCAAATGTTTGCTTATTGATATTAATTTGTATCACTAAAATATGACAACTGGGCGCACTTTTCTCGAATAATCCCAAAAACATGTGTAACGGATACACAGGCAACATTGTGGACATAAACAACATCCTAAAAAATTCATTCAAGATTTGGCCATGTCTATCAACCTTAGCTATCTTTCGAAAAAAAATATTTCATATACCTGAATCTCAACCATTTGGGCTAAAAATAGCCAAAATACAACAAAACACCCAATCACATAACTCTTTCTACTTTTTTGCACGTCTTTCGTAAAAAGTCAAAAAGCAAACTAAAATAGCCAATTCCCAGACAGGGCCTAAATATTAAAAGTTAAAATAGCAGGAAATTTGATCAATTAAAACTTGTCTAAAGAAGTGTTAACGGGCTTCTGAACATATGCTGCAGTGGCCATGTATTCTTAGCCACTGCTGGATAATTTCTAAATCCACTTGAAATGAATGCTATTCAAATGCCACCTAAGGCAATTCTTTGAATTGCTGCCACAGTATGTTAAACTAAATGGTTATACTTTCTGATTCATGCTTCTTGAAACAAATTTTCTGCCTCAATGCAGTTTAGAAAACAAAACCAAATCAAAATAAAACAAGAACAAAAACAAAAACCAAATGAAAAACAAAATATACCTTGTTTCTTAGGTACTTCTAGTTCTATAGCACAAGGACAATTGCCAAAAAGCACTCTATCTATTCAATGGCTCGGTTGCTTAGCAAATCACACACCACGTTTGAATTAACAAAACATGCAGTCATACACCTTGAATGTAAACAAAACATGTAAACTATGATCCCAACTTATTACAAACATTGCCCCTGGTGCAAACCCAAACATCCCAATTATAAACAATAATGTTGTGGGTGGTATTTGTTAAGGTGGCCTACAGATGGCCTTTTGGGAAGAATGCAGGTACTGAGATGTCAAGGTAATCACCAGTGAGGCAGGAGGTGAGAGATCAATAAGCCTCAGAAGAGAGAAAAAGGGCGGGCAGAGGTCTTGCTGTATACCAGATATGGTAAAATGGTTGATAATGGAAGTGATGCTTCAACATTTTCATAGAGGCCTCCTTATATAGGATGGTCAAACCATGGAGGCCAGCTCACTCTTGGAGAGGTAGCTGACCCTCCTTGTTTCAACAAGAATGAGGTATCCCAACCACCTCTACATCCTAAGATCAAATCCTGGGATTTGTATCATAAGAGCAACAATGTAGGCATCACGGGGGGCTTCAGTGTTGCATATGATACAATTCCAAAATATCATGTCTTGATTAGAGCACCTGTCTCTCTAAGACTGATCATGGTGCAGACACCCTCGGGTAGGGGGATGGGAAGGCACTAAAATGAATCCCTAACTCTAGCTTCAAAGCCACATGCCTCCAATGATGCCCCGAGCAAAGATTCCAAGGCCTAACACTGAACCTAGGTCATCAAGGTATTGGATGATGGCGTTGGAGATGACTTGATCAGTAGGAGACAGCTTTACGGAGAAAGAGGAGACGAGACATAGTAGGGTCATGGTCTGGCAGAGGACACTCAGCCAAGCCAAATGGAATACAGAGCCATGTTGCTATCGAGCACAGTTAGTCGAGCAGGGATGCCTCGAAACCTCAACACAATTACGTGGTGCTCTGGCCACGCCTCGGGATGCCCTATGTTGGTTCATCTTGCGGTGACATGGCTAAAAGCTAAGGCATTGGGCATGTCAGCTAGCCAAGATAACATACTTGGTGGTTTCTATGCCCCTGGTTAGGCTAGACTCACAACCCCAATAGCTTATTTTGGAAGATGACACGTGCCAATATGGGTTGCCACTTGACAATCCCTTGTCTGAGTTGGAGATGATATGGTGCAGGTAAGGCCAACCACAAGGTGAAGGGTATTTAGGTACAACAAATGTTAATTATCACTGTAATTTGAGTACATCCTGTGTTACTAAGAAGTGCCAATGGGAGGGTGCCTTAGATATGAGCAGGAGGCTCTTAATGCTCTGTAGATGTATAGCAAGGTTATATGAGTGTTCTAAATAGTGCAATACCAAGCACCAAGTTACCTGTATGCTTTGACAGCATTCTTAAGTTCAGGATCTTCCAATATGTTTCTGGCACTCAAAGGAACATCTGCAAAAGGCATATCAATGGTAAGAATGCCATAATAACCTAACGCAATCAAGTCAGTAAAGAGCAAGGTCAGCTCAAATTCAGTAAACTGCAAGATCAGATCAAAGTTCAACAAACAGGATGCCCAAATGTAACCCCAGCTATCACATATAACTTAAGTCAGCAACTAATTTAGTGCTTCTATTGTGTCACCTTCTTGTACTACCCTATTTAAACTTTTAAGCAAACCAAATGGTCATCTATAACTATATAGCCTCACACATTTATTCCACTGCAAATATAATGCACTTCAATTTTCATTTTCCGGACATGACTAAACCAAATACTCACTATGGACCACATAAACAAGGGTAAATCGTCCAAGCTCATTTAAAAGATATTGTTGCTGAACTGAACCAGGGAATGGAGTGTACAAAAAGAGTCATAAAACTAACAAAGAGAACACTTACTATATTCCTTCAACACTCTTACTGCTAGTGAGCTGAATCCACATCGGGAAAGATCAGGCACCCCTTTCATGTAAAGAATCACCGCGTTGTCCTTGACATCCTATGCTAAAAGCTAAAAGCAATCAATAAAAACAGACTCTTAACAAATAAACAACTAAATTTTTTTGCTCGATAATTAAAAGAGAAAATACTTGAGGCTCAGTATCTCTAATACAAAAGGTACAGACGACTACTGTCTACCTGCTCTACAATATCCTTCAAAGAAAGGCCAGAACTCTCAAGCTTATTAGTGGGTCTGAAGTCCTTGTGTATGTCCCATGGTGGTTAAAGGATCCAGCTGCCTACCAACAATTAAAGAAAAAATATTAGCAAGTATCATTTATATGGCCATCAAAAATTATTTGCTCTAAAGATAAAAACCACACACTTGTGGCTTAAAATTTCAAGAGAACCCTTTTTTTTTTGATTTTTTGAGTGGAGTTTAACAATGTAAGCATTTTTGTTTACAATTTTATGATTAAGGATCCAAGAAATCTAGAATCAGATGGCTACGAACATTCCTAAGTAGTTTCTTTGACTGTAAGCCCTTTGAAAATAAGAGAAACGCAAATCAAAACAAAGAGTTCAAATCAAACAAAGGGAATCCTTTGGTTTTGAAGGCAAAGAGAGTAATAGCCCCAAAAAAAATGCAAAACCAAAAAAATAAAATAAAAAATTTTAAGGCATAGGAAGGAATGGAGGAGAACTGAATTAAGAAGAAAATGGACCATCAGTAGAATAATGGAGTCTCTCAATGTTTCAAGACAGATGATACCTGAATTATGGGTAACGAGAGCATTAGAGCGTCTTTCAATGTTTCAAGGAACAAAAAAAAAACACACACACACATGTATAAGAAGATTATATGATACATGTGGGATTAAGAAGATTATATGAACACTATAAACCGTATATATATGACAGATTTTGTAAACAAAAAAATTCATGTGTTAGGGCCCACCCTGATCACCACCTCCCTCTGCCTTTGTTGTGAACCCTTCCAATTGAGTTTCAACAGATCATTGGCACTCTTCAATATCTCTCAAACTAAACCAAAAATCTCCTTTTCAGTAGATCAAGTCTCCCAATTTGTACATAGCCCAACTGATTTTCAACGGACAATGGTCAACAACATATTTTATGTTATCTAAAATTATCCAATGAATTAGATTTATTTCTTGGCCATTTCAACTCTCTTTCTCCGTAATGTTTCCCGGATGGCTATTGGGCTGGGTACCCAGATGACCGCTGCTCAACCCATCACTCTCAGTCCCAAGTTTACTCTCTCGTGCCTTCAAAAAGCAAAATATTGTTGCTCAATCGAGTATTGAAACTAAATATTGGGGCCTCGGAAATGCTTATGCTATATTAGTGTGGACTGTGGATACAAAACCCACTAAGCTTTGCGGGTGTGTGTCACATATAAGAATCCATAACATTGTATTGCTTTATTTGTTAGGCATATTCTTTATCAAACAATTTGTAATTTAAATATTGAGTTGTAGAGTAGAGTCCATAATATCAGATCATATTGTTGTAGCTATGCGAGATTTCCAGGAAATTATCCTTCAGTTTCTTTCCTTTAATAACATATGTGGGAACATTGATACTGTGTTTAGTTTGGGGATTTGGAAAGGAAAAGAAGAAATGTAGGACATTTCACCTAATTTCACACACTTTTTCTCTCCCAAATCCCCCAATCAAACAAAGGCTGAATGTTTATATTAGAATCAGCTAATCGCAGTATCTCTAGATCAAATCAATCATTTAAACCAAATTGACTACCGTAAAAAGCAATTAACAATTACCACCAACAAAAAAATAAATAAATAAATAAATAAACTTTAAACAAAGCCCTAACTAACCTTTGTACCGTAATTGGAAGTGACGGAGCAAGAAAAGGATATAGTGGATAGCCGGAAAGGCGACCGCGGATGTTGGCGGCGGAGGCAAAGCGGCGGAGCTGTGTAGAGAGTCTTCTGCACATGGCTTTTGCATGAGTATTTACGGTGTCCTGGTGATGCCTCGCCCTCCCGCCCCCTCCAATATCTAGTATGGGGTTTTTTTTGGAGGCTGGATATATATATTTTTTAAATATGGGAAACTATATCCACTTTTTTGATTCATAATTAAAGAAATAAATTCATAACTAATAATATGTGATATAATTAAAAAATTTATCAATTATAACTAAAATAATATCATAAGTAAAGAAAAAATTAATTTTAATTAAAAAAAAATGACATAATTAAAAATGTATATAGTGTACATTTTTTAAAAGTATGTAGGTTGGAATTTCCCTAAAAATATAATAGGTAGTGTTTGGTTTAATTTTAGAATTATGATTTAAGCGTGAAGTTATGATTTGGATGTGGAATTGTGAGTTGAGTTTTGAAAAAAGAAAATTTGTTTGGTCATAAATTTTGAAAAGAGTTTTGAGTTGTATTTTGAGTTTTGAATTTTGAGTTGTACTTTAAATTTTTTGAATCTGTTTTTTTTAAATATTAAAAAATGTTTAAGAAAATTTTATTTTATTTTGTAAATATTTTAATTTTTTTAATTTTAATATTTTAAACTCAAAACACAATTTCACACTTATATCGTAACAAACATATAATTCAAAAATTATTTTTAAAACTTATAACCAAACACATAATTTGAAATTCCACACTACTTTCAAAACTCTACACTCAAATCTTAACTAAACACATAACAAAAAAATTAAAATATTTTAAAATATTTTTGTAAAATAAAATAAAATATTTAAAATAAAAATTATATATTTAAAATAAAAAATAATTTTTTTAATATTAAAAAAAATACAGCACAAAAATGTATGAAATATTGTGCATATTAAAATAAATAAATAAATATTTAAAATATAAAATATTTATCTTAAAAAAATAAAATTAAGAAATTTTTTAAATATTTTTAAAAAATAAATCCAAAAAAATTTAAAATACAACTCAAAACTCAAAATACAACTCAAACAACTATTTTCAAAACAACTTAAAACACTGCTCCACACTCAAATCATGATTCTAAAAATAATTTTAAAAACAAAATAAAAAAATATTTTTTTAAATTTTTTCTTTTAAAATAGAGTTTTGAAAAGAGTTTTAAATTAAGTTTTGAGTTATGTAATTAGTTGAGTTTTGAAAATAATTTTTAAATTGAGTTTTGAGTAGTTTTGAATTGTGTGTTTGGTTATAAATTTTGAAATTTTTTGATTGAAATTATGATTCCAAAACTTAACCAAACATGGTTTTAAAGTTTGGGCTGTCACTTAATAAATTAAATTTTTAATTTCAGCTTAAACTTCAAAATTTAAATTAACATTAATTTCAACCTTCCACTCATTTCCATTTTAAATAATATTAATTTCCACCTTCCACCCATTTCCGTTTTCTAATTGAATTTAATAATTTTTTTAACATATATGTAATACCTTCACATTTGCTTTTTTTTCACTTAATAAGTTTTGGGGTCTGCTTATTTTTTGACTTTTTTAAAATTTATTTTTGTCTTTAATAAATTTTTTTAAAAAAAAATCAAAAATGTTTAAACTTCTAAATTCAATTCGACAAGAAGAATCGGAAAATTATAAATTTTTTAAAAATTTCAAAAAAAGGTGCAAAAAAGACCCCCCAAAAAAAGATTAAAAAGCAGTGATTTTTTTTTTTGTTTATTTTGGCTTTTCAATTTTTTCATATTTTTTCAAATATATATATATACTTTTCAGATTCATTTTGACAAAATGGACCAGAAAAATTTTAAAAAAAAGATTGACATAATTTTAAAAAAAAATTAACCAAAGACAAAAAAAAATTCAAAAAGAAAAAAAAGAAAAAAAAAGAAGACTTTTAAGCAAGTTACCAGAAGGAAATTTAACTTGATCACACAATATTATCATTACTATTTATTAACTATCCATTAAATCAGAGTCACCTAATATGATCAACCATGAACTTGAGCACAAAACCCACTATTACTTTCATTTCCTTTCTATTATCTTGAACTTTACGTTTACGTTGTGTTTGATTGAAAAATTTAAAAAGTGATTTGAATAGAAAAAATATATATATATAAAATGTGAATAAAATATATTTATATTTTATCTAATTTTATACATATTTTTCATTTTTTTTTTCAAATTCATTCTCAAATCTCTTAACTAAATGCAATATTATACACTACAAGATAATTGACTTTTTGCGCCTCTTCTTTTGAGACAGTCTGTTTTGACAGTAGCAAAAAAACATATTTATAACAACTAAAACATATTTATGACGAGTCTAGATCCTCTGTCGTGCCTTCCTGCGGCGTTCCCTGCCATGATTCAAAACGACGTCGTTTTCAGTTTTTTTTTTCCTTTTCTTTCTCTTTCATTTGCTTAAACGCTAACCCGTTGAGAGAAGCAGAGATGAAACGGAGCAATAGGCGCAAGCATGGCAAGTCGACTACGACTAAGGCGGCGACGAGGTCTTGCAATATTCATTCTCACATGATATTGCAGATTGCTAGCTATCTCAAGCAACAAAATCGATGGAAATTCAAAACCCATTTTCGTTCTCCACTCATTGAATCACATTGGTTTGTCAAACAACAAAATGACTGATTTCTCACCAAATCACCCATCCAAACAGACCTTTACAATAAAGCAACAAGGGTTCTTTCTCTCTGTGTGTGTGTGTGTGTGTGTGTGTGTTTCAGAGAGGAAGAGAAGGAGAAATGTCAATCATTTTCTGTTGGAAAGGAAAAATGTAGAAATCAGAGGGAAAAAAGCAATCTTTCTCCACAGACCAATGTCGAATTCTAATTTTTTCTAGGAAGTAAGTAGAAATCAAAGAGAGCAATCTCTCTCTCTCTCTCTCTCTCTCTCTCTCTAAAACTAAAAAGAAGAGAAATCTCACTATGAAATCCTTGATTGAATCATACCCAAGAACAACATCCGCCAAGTATAAAGAGCACAAAGAAAAGGAAAGAAAAGAATCATTGAAAAAATATAAAAATTATACAAGTATAAACAACTGATTTCACAAATGGGACATACCATATGTACGGGAAAGAAATAATTCTTCTCGTATAATCCTGTTGACCAAGTCTGCCCTTCTCCGTACGACGTCGCCTTATCACCTGAAAACACAAACGTGAACTAGCCGGCGGGTGTGTGCCGGAAACCTCTCTGATGCCTAAGTCAACAAACTTGACAAATAGACAAAGCTCTGTGAATTCAGAAAGCAAAGTTGTGTGTTACCTCCTCCAAGGTGATATTTGTGAGCTTTTATAGGTTTCGAGTGACACAATCCTAGCAGGACTTCTACTTCTCCATGCAGAGTCCTCCTAGGATTCATACTCCTGAAAGACAATGCTTATCCTTTAACATCCCCCTCACTGCTTAAACCAAGTGAGATGGTTTTTACCATGGCCGAACTACCATATGACAGAAATAAAACTGGTTATGCTGAGCAACAGAGTAGGCCGAACTATCCTTAGTTCGGTTTTTCCCTTTACTCCTCCTTACCTCGGTTCTCTCCTGTTCAACTCATGGTATGTTTAGACCGAGCTACCGAGTAGCAAGGTTTTGACCGTTCTAACCACAATACATCATGACCGGACTACCTCTGAGACCAGCCTAACTCCAAGTTGCTTCCGGATCGGAGTAACTTTACAATTCTTAGGCCGGAGTAACTTTTATCTCTCTTGGGCCGGAGTAACTTTCCGACTTTGTTACCCAGTCCTTCGTACTTTGGGCCATAAAGTCCATCTCTTAGCTCAGCCCAATTTTCACCAAAATTACCCTCTCAATTGCCCCTTAATTCCATCTGTATAGCATGATTGGGATTAACCGTTCATCAGCCGAGCTATAGTCCCCAAACCCCCCAGTCGAGCTACAACCATTTAGCCTATCCTGCCGAGCTAAACTTAAACCGAGCTGCTGTCATCCAATCACAACGTCTTTTCAATCACCAAAAACTGAATCGCTTCCTTTTCCGTATACACGTGGCATGTTCCCATTCGCAGAAGGCAGCTGTCAACGCCGTCTTTGTATTTCGCAATTTTGAACAGTTCCCGCCCTTTCTCTCTCTTTCCACAAAACAAGCTTTCTGTCTTTGAATCATTCACCCACACTTTTTACCTTCTTCTATCTTCGTGCCTCTGCTTCTCCAACCTGAGTTCATGTTCTTCATTGGTGCTGTTGCTCCCATCACCAGCTTCATCTTCTTCTGGTAAGCTCCACAAAATCTGTTTTGTTTTTCTTATTTCTGCTTTCTACGTTTTTTGCAAAACATGCTTGTACATTTTTGTTTTTGCTTCTGTACTTTCATGAAAAAATCAGTAGAACCTATGAGTATATGTTATATATCCTATAGAAAACTCGCCTTTGATCCAAAATCATGTCCCAACCGAACTAGGAAACTGTTTGTGCTATATAGGTAGATCAATTCCGACAATAACCGAACTAGATACACTTTAGCCGAGATACGCTTACCGAACGAAGTTCTATACTCAGTAAACTAGGAACCTTGGCATTCAACCGAGCTAGGCCTTGGGGCTAAGCCAGCTTTCTTAGTTTCTAAACCAAACTCAAAAAGCTGCCCCTAGAGGCCCAACCGAAGTAGCAGAACTCATAGTTCAACCGATTTAGGCCTTTGGAGCTAAACCAGCTTTCTTAGTTTTTTAGACCGAACTCAGAAAGCTGCCCCTAGACGATGAACCGGTCTAACAAAATTGTTTCCAAAGCCAGTATGCCGAGATGCTTGCCAAGATCTGGCTAATAAGAACCCTGCTCAAACCGAGCTACTAAGCATTTTACTAAACCGAGATAGAACCTGTCCACAAAGCCGAAGTAGGGCTCTTTTACCTTGCTTTTAATTTGTAGCACGGTCCAATGATCTGTGCTTAACCCCTTTGTTTTCTACTTTGCAGACTTAGGTTGCCCAGGCACTCCTTCGTGCGCTCAACCGAGCTACTGAGCACAATTTTTACACCGATATAACTTATTCATAATTTATACAATAGATGGGGAAGTATAGGTACCTAGTAAATACTCTGGGCGG